TTACCTAAAACTATTTACACGTTATTTGAGAAGACAAAATTTTAGAGTGTAAAACTAACGGATTAAAAATAACTAAATTAAACAAATAAATAATGTGAAGAACCTTACAGTATTAATGAAGTTAAGGCACAAATTTCCCCATTTCCCCCTAACTATCCTTGACAACTACTCTTAATACTCGGTTGTGCTATGAATTGGTAGGATTCTTCTAAGGTCAATTATCCTTATTTAAGCATAATATTCAACTTAATACAAATCCCTATTCGGCTACTCTGAAATTAAGAAGCATAAAATCATCAATCCCTTACGACTAATTCACCTTATTCGGTTATGAATTAGGTAGACCACAAATTAATCCTAGAATCTTTGTTCGATTACTTCTAGTTTTAATACGTTGTGTAATGTTATTCCAATAAAACAATTATAAATATGAATTAAGCAATAAACCCCAACTTCTCTATTCGAAACATCATCAAGGTAATTGAATCAATCCAACATTCATAAAGCATTAAACCTAAACTCTTGCACAAATTTATAACCATAAATCTGGTATTAAGAATAAAAATTGTTTAAAACATAATTAGGGTTTCATCCTCCTCTAACAAAAGAGATTTACTCCATCCTAAGAACAAAGAAATAAATAGAGAAGAAAGAAACATATTCAGACTTGAAAATAAACAAAAATCAAACTCTTAAATTTGATCTTTAGTCTTCAAGCCCCAAGAATGCGTCTTCTCCTCTCCAAATTAAATATGCAAAATTCATTCCTTGACAACTAATCTCAATTATACTTAAATACTAAAAGAGTTCTAAGTGAAAAATGAAAGAAATTCTAACAGAAATTTCTTAATAGTTTCTGCCATAGCCTTGGCCGTGGCCAAATTTAAGTCACCATAGCCTAGGCTGTGGTGCTTTATGGTCTCTTTGTTTTATCTTTGTTCCACCACCATGGTCATGGTGAATTACCAAGGCCTAGTTATGACCTTAAAAAATGTCAAATAGTCTCAATTTCTTCAAGCTTTTAGTTTCAATTTCATTCCAATGCTCCAATCTACTCAATCAAAGCCTGAAAATACACAAAAATTATCCAAATCAATAGCTGACCATTCAAATCTCAAGCTTAATAAAAACTAATACTAAATCAAATTAAACAAATGAGAAATTAACTAAACTAACATTAAAACTAAAAACACTCAAATTATGCAACTTATCAAATGTCAGTTAAAAAAAGTCGTTAGTTGATTTAACGTCAATGTTAAATAAAGGTTATCTTCACATCACTGTCAACTAATGGTACGTTACTTTCATGTTTAAAAGGTAAATCGTTGTCACTGTATACTAACGGCGCTTCAACATTACCGTTTAATAGCGGTACTTCAATGCTGCCGTTTCATAACGGTAGATCAGGGTCCTAGTAAGTAAAGGTAAATTTGCCGTTACTTCACCCTTCCAATCTTCAATGATTGATCGATCTTCATGGGCAAGCTTCGACTTTGAGAAATGTGAAGAGTATTGAAGCATTGAAGAACAAGAAGCTCTAAGGTTTGTGTTTAGACTTCGATAAAAATGCAAAAGGGAAAATGATGAGTATGAATATGATGAATTAGTATTTGAAGTCTTTCATCCAACACCTTATTTACATGAAATAGGAGAAGAATGTCGTAACTTCGAAATTGATGCATTGAATCCATTGATTGATCTTTTTGGGCCAAGATTCAATCTGACAAAGGTAATAACCCTCTTTTAATTTCAAGTATATCCATCTCTTTTCTTTCCAAGCATCCAGTGATTTTTGTAGCTTTTGTTACCGTTCCAGTACATTACTAGTACCTCATGCTCCAGTAACGCTGCCGTGATGGTTCACCAAGACTGTAACTTTATTGGTACCTCATTTTCCAGTAATGTTACTATTGTGCTGTTACAGGTAACTTATGCTCCTGTAACATTACTGTGATGTTGCAACACAAAGGTAACTCATGCTCTAGTAAAGTTGCCATGATAGTTCACCACAACGGTAACGTTACCGGTACCTCTTGTTCCAGTAAAGTTACCAAGATGGTTCACCATAACGGTAACGTTACTGATACCTCATGTTCCAGTAAAGTTACCAAGATGGTTCACCATAACGATAATATTACCAATACCTCATGTTCCAATAATGTTACCATTATCGTTTAACACAACGGTAACCTTACCAGTACCTCATGCTCTAGCAACGTTACCGTTATGGATGGTTTAATACAACGGTAACCTTACCAGTATCCCATGCTCTAGCAACGTTATTGTTATGGATGGTTTAACGCAATGGCAACCTTACCAATATCTCATGCTCCAGCAACGTTGTTGTGATGGTTCACTAGAACGGTACGTTACCGATACCCCATTTTCCAATAAAGTTACTATTGTGCTATTACAGGTAACTCATGCTTCAATAAGATTATTGTGATATTGCAGCACAACCGGAACGTTGTTGGTAACTCATGCTCCTGTAATGTTACAGGACCTCATGTTCCAGTAACGTTACTGTTATGGTTTAACACAACAGTATGTTAAATAACATTACTGTTGTGCTTTTACAGGTAACTCATGCTCTAGTAACATTACTGTGATGTTGTAACACAACGGTAACATGTTGGTAACTCATGCTCCAGTAACGTTGCCATGATAGTTTGGTGCCTCATGATCCAGTTTCATTACTGTGCTAGGTGCAGCCAAACCTTTTGTTTCCGTGACGTTACTTCATGAACCTGGTAATTTTCCCTAAAAATCCTATTTAATTTTTTTATCCATATTTTTGTATGATTTTAAAGAATGTTAAAATGACATGTTCTCTCTGTTTTTATCTTTTTCAGGATTCTTAGATCATTCGGAAGTTTGTCAATATTTGATTGGAAAGCAGTTCAGAGCAGAGTTCTTTTCCAAGAACTTGGAGTAATTTTGAAATGTTAAGCATCTGTTATTGCTTTCTCTTAATTAGTGTTGGATCCACTATGCAGCATTATTGGGGAGCTTCTTTATCTGCTCTGTGAAATCTTTTGATTGTCTTCCTACTAGTTAGGAATTTTAAAGCTATTTTTCCATTCAAGAAACTTGATTTTAGTATTTTGGTTTCGTTGTACTGACGAAATAAGTTTAACATGCCATGAGTTTCTCTAAAGATTCAATCTAAAAAGTTATGCATGAAATGAGCTTCACAGAATCAAGCTTCTTCTACATTCCCTTTCCTCCACAAAAAAGGCACCTCTTGTTATGTTATTGTGTTCTCTTTTCGCTAGTTATCAAGCATCAGTTTTAATATACAGAAGAGTGTGATATGCTAGAAGACAAAGGAATGTCTACCATTTAGACACCGTTGAAGTGTAAGTTTTTTTTTTTTTTTTCTCAGTGGCAACCCAAATACAATATTTCTTGTCTTGGTGAAATGTTTTGGGCTAATGTTGTGTCTTTGTAACTTAGCAATTGTGGATAAGACCGCCAAATAAATCGACCATAAAACAGTTTTCTTCCCGAAGAATTGTATCCGAAAAAAAGGAACCGGATGTTTCTCCTGTGCCAGATATCGGACTGGTTGTTGGTTATGTCTTGTCAATTTATTTCTATTTTTTTAATATGCAAATCTAATTTTCTAATCTTGGTAGCTAATACGAAATTATGTCACTGCCACTGATCAGCGGAGAGGAAGGACCAATTATGAAATCAGTCAATGGCAAAAATTCATTAAGGCATTTGAAACCAAAAAGTAAATACGGTTGATGAAACAAAGTGCTGAATTGTCCGGTACATTTGCTTGGTGAGCTTCTCTCATGCTCACATTTCACCCTCGCATTTAGATTTGTTAACTTAAAATGATTGTGTCTTGTTATTCACTCTTTCTTGGTTGGCCTAATTTAATACGCCCACTGACTAAAAAATACGTCAATGAACTAAATGTTTTATGCTAATAGTGTAGAAAATTATGTCAATAGAGAAAGACAAAATTTGTACTTTAAACCAATTGATGTAAAAAAGTATGCCAACTAGGAAACTTTATAAGAAATTTCTTAGTTGATGCATTTTTCCCTGCCAACGGGACATATAACACTAAGTGTCGAATCGGCTGGAATTTCTCAAATCCGACCCAAACAAAATCAATACACTTCTATTCACATCAAACACAGCTACACTTATACCACTAACACTCACAACATCCATAAAAACAATAACTTCCCCAACAATAATCACATTAACTTGAAAACCCTAGAAATTTAAAATCCAAAAACCTTAACTAAAACTCCAACAACATTCTTCAAAGTGTCGTGATTAACTTTGTTCTCACCACTAAAATTGCCCAAAAATCAATCAAAGTGCAATCAAAATACTCATTTTAATCAATATATACTGTGATTAATGCAATAAAAGAGTGAAAAGTCGAAAATCAAAATCAACTTCAAACCTTTTTTTTTTTAATGGGAGAACGGTGGAGAAAATTTTGCTTATATATGAGGATAATTTCGGAAAAAAGGCATTTGGTGGTTATATAGATATAGGCGTTGAAATTTTGGTTAACTATTATGGGCCCCGAGTTATTTATATTAAAAACCCTTTCGTTTTCCCGTAAATAACTCTTTGATGAGTTACCTGCCTCAACTTTTATTGGTTAATTAGCCATTTCATGGTTGTCATCAGAATAAATTAAACAATTATTTTATTTTAATTGTTTTTGGGTAGCTATCCTAGAACAATGTTTAATTATATGCCAACTTGTTCACCGGAAGAGATAGAAGAAGTTTTGTTGGCAAGTAATTTCAACTAACATGTCTCTGCATGATTTCATAGCTAGTAAAATAATTAATAACTCTTTGCTGTGCTTTCACACACTGTGAAGAGTAGTTGGCATGTGGAGCAAAGCATTACCTAACACAGAGCTTCATGTAGTGTATGAGCAGTAGCATGTTCATAAAACAAATATTCCAATTTTTCCTCCTTTGTAACTCATTCAGTTTTGTTTACAATCTCTGAGTATGGCTGATGCTATTGTTAATCTTGCCTTGGAGCAGCTGGTTAAAATCGCTGCTCAAAAGATTGAAGAAGAGGTGAGGCTGGTTGGGGATGTCAAAAAGGAAGTGAAAAAACTTCGGAGAAATCTTGAAGCCATTCAAGCTGTGCTACTTGATGCAGAGGAGAGGCAAGTGAAGGAGAAACCTGTGAAACGTTGGTTAGATCAGCTCAAAGACACATCCTACGACATGGAAGATGTGTTGGATGAGTGGAATACTGAAATCACGAAACTGCAAGTGGAGGGAGATCTTCAAAATTCTCTTGTTCCTAAGCAGAAGGTACGTTCCTTCTTCCTTTGTCCTTGCTTTGGTATCAAACAAGTCGTTTTACGTCGTGATATAGCACACAAGATAAAAGAATTAAATGAAAATCTAGATGCTATTGCCCAAGAAAAAGATACATACAGTTTTAAGGAAATGAAGAGTATAGAAAGATCGGAGTGAATTCAAAGTACGTCTTTGGTTGATGTGTCTGAAATATACGGGCGAGATTATGAGAATAATTCTTTAGTAAGTAAGTTGTTAAGTGAGAGCAATGAAGAGCAAAAAAGCCTCCATCTCATCTCACTTGTAGGGATGGGAGGAATTGGGAAAACAACTCTTGCTCAACTTGCTTATAATAGTGATAAGGTCATAAACAATTTTGAAACAAGAGTATGGGTGTGTGTATCGGATCCTTTTGATGAGTTTAGGATTGCCAAAGCAATAATTGAAGGTCTTAAATGTCCAACTGATAATTTAGTTGAATTGGAGTCTCTTATGCAATGTCTTCGTCAATCTATTATTGGTAAGAAATTTCTTCTTGTTTTGGATGATGTGTGGTCAGAAGATTACAACAAATGGGAACCATTTTATCATTGTTTAAAGAATGGTTCCTATGGTAGTAAAATTTTGATTACCACACGAAAAGATACAGTTGCATCTATCATGGGATCAATTGACCTTATTACTATTAAGGAATTATCTGAGGAACAATGTTGGTTGTTGTTTAGACGATTAGCATTTTTTGGTAGGCCCCGTGAGGAGTATGAAAAATTAGAAGAAATTGGAAGGGATATTGTTGCAAAGTGCAAGGGCTTGCCTCTTGCTGCAAAAACTATCGGGAGTCTCTTACGATTTAAAAGAACTAGAGACGAGTGGCAACGTATTTTAGATAGTGAAATGTGGAAACTAGAGGAGATTGAGAAAGGTCTTTTATCCCCTTTGTTGTTGAGTTATAATGATTTGCCATCTATGATAAGACGGTGTTTTTCATACTGTGCTATCTTTCCAAAAGATCACAAAATAGATAAACATCGTTTGATTAAATTATGGATGGCTCAAGGTTATCTTGGTTTAGAAAATGATACAGAGATGGAGACAATAGGCCAAGAGTATTTTGATCACTTAGCATCACGATCTTTCTTCCAAGAGTTTGAAAAAGACGAAGATGGGAATATCATAAGCTGTAAGATGCATGATATAGTTCATGACTTTGCTCAATTTCTTAGTAAGAATGAATATTTTACTGTAGAATTCAATGGGGGCACCGAAGAGCTAGTTATAAACACTTCCAATGAGAAAGCTCGGCATTCAATGTTAACGCTTAACAATGGGGCTACATTTCCCATCTCCATTAGTAGCGTCAAAAGTTTGCGGAGTCTCTTAATTGGTTGTGAAGGTTCTCCGTATTTGTTGCCTAATGATGTTCTACCAAATTTATTTGGTGAATTGACATGTTTGAGGGCATTAGATATAAGTGCAGGATATATACGAGAGAATTTGATTACAGCCATTCCAAAAGAGATAAAGAAGGTGATACATTTGAAATATCTGAATTTGTCTGGTCAGAGAGTAGAAAAACTTTCGGAAACTTTGTGTGAGTTATACAATCTGCAAACTTTAGATATTTCTTGGTGTGGAGAGCTTAAAGAATTGCCTCAAGGGATAGGGAAGTTAATAAACTTGCGGCATTTGATTAATCTTGGAACAATATCATTAAGTTACATGCCGAAGGCAATTGAGAAATTAACTCGTCTCCGAACATTGAGTGAATTCTTCGAAAGTAGGGGCCGTGGTGGTGATGATAGTAAAGCATGTAGTACTCTTGAATGTTTGAAAGCTTTGAAACATTTACAAGGGAAGCTTGAAATAAGAGGGCTAGGAAATGTGAGTGAGGTTAAGAGTATACAAGTTCTCAACAATAAGAAAAGCCTCTTCTATTTGAAGCTGAGATTCGATAAAGATGGAGAAGGAGAGAGGAAAAAGGAAGATGATGAATTGCTTCTTCTTGAGGCCTTGCAACCGCATCCGAATTTGGAGAAATTAGAGATGGAAATGTACAGAGGCAGCACTTTTCACCCCAATTGGGTGATGTCATTAACCAGGCTGAGGGAATTGCGTCTCTACAGTTGCACAAACTGTATGCATTTGTCTCCATTGGGAAAATTGTCATCTCTTGAATCACTGAAGATTCATGGAAGGATGAGTGTGAAAAAAGTGGTGTGGGGGAAAGACAGTGACGGCGAATCGTCATCTTCATCAGTTATTCATTTCCCCAAGTTGAAAGTTCTTGAATTCTGGGAGATTTACGAATGGGAAGAGTGGGATTACGGGAATACAATCATGCCATGTCTTGTTTCCTTGTCAATCAATCGCTGTGGAAAATTAAATGCACTGCCTGACGGCCTTCTCCAGGGGGCGACAAAACTAGAACATTTGCAGTTTTTTCAAAGTTCTCTTTTGGAAGAACGTTACAGAAAGGGAACAGGAGAGGACTGGCCAAAGATCTCGCACATTCCCAACATCAAATTTACTTATTTCTATCTGCAAGGAGGCCCCCTTCGTCGAGATCTCAAAAGGCTGCAATTACCATCAACCCACAAAGGTAATTTCTCCTCATCCTCTAATTTTAGAAGTCCTATATCATGTTTATTGTTTGGAATAAGCAAAAATTTTTGATTCTTTGAACCTGTCTTTGACAGAGTTTAATTGCAGGAGATATGCAGAAATATTGACCATGATGTTGAACTGCTCGATGATTTCATTCTGAGTAATTTATGCTGGTTGAAGTGTTTTGCTGAAAGGAACAGAGCCAGAGGAGATAGTTATGCAACCAACCACAGGAGTAAAAACGAAGTCGGATTTCACTTCTGTTACTCTTGTGTATGATTTTCTTCTTTTAGTTCTCTGTTTCATCCTGTTTGGACATTTTTTTCTTTTTCAATAAATTCAAACAATTAACTGATGGGAAAATTTTCTTCAGTTACAAGTATACATTTCTTCAGATCAGACTTGAAAAACTGTCAACTTAATACCTGTAAATGGCTTCTTTTAAAGAGCTTCTGCATTTTGATATTTCCCTTTGACATGCCATGAATTTCTTTGAGAAAATTTAGTAGTAGTGTGGTTCTGACATACGCTTGTTGTAGTTGAGCTTATATTAATATATTTTCACATCCTTTATTTATGGTTTTTGGGAAGAAAAAATTTCAATTGTATAATGCCTGTTATGATTCCCTCGAGATACAAAATGTTGATAAATATATCATTAACCAAACTTCTATATTATCGGGGAGGAACAGAATTAGTCAAGTAATTAGCGATAAGCAAACACATCCCATCACTGTTATCGTTTTATAAACGAAACTTCACAAACATAGTTAATTGACGGTAGGCGAACGATAGTGTAACTAACAAATCATAGCCATCACCGTCACTAACGGATCATAACCGTCATTGTTAACTAACCGATCGTGGCCGTTACTGTTAACTAACGAATCATAGCCATAACCGTTAACTAACGACTGTCATCGCCAACTAATGGATGCTAGCTGTCAACGTGATGTAACGGAATTACCCTTATTGTCAACTAACGGAACATTGTCGTTACCTTTAACTAATGCTATTAGCGTCACCGATTACTAACTGAGCGACGCCGTCATTGTTTACTAACGGTACTTAAGCGCTGCTGTTTACATTGCCGTTACATCACCCTTCAATCTTCTATTTTTGAAAGATTTGAAACAATCTTCTTCAAGGGCTGCTTCGCTAATGAGCGTTGAGAAATCTTACAAATGGGAAGAGTATACAAGTAACGCAGAAATAGAACTTCTGGGTTTGTGTTTTGGACTTTGATAATGACGGAGAATGGGAGAGGATTAATGAGGATGATGACTTAGTTCTTGAGGGCTTTCATCCACCACCTAGTTTAGAGGAAATTGGAGAAGACTGGCCCAACATCAAAATTGATTGGAATTATATGCAAGGAGCTGCAAATGTCATAGACTCACAAGCAATGATATAATTTTTTCGGATTTGATTTCATGTGTTCTGTTTTCTGGAAAGTTTAATCCAAGATTCAATTTTGATACGAAAGAATAATCCACCCCCAGTGATCTTGTACCTGATTATTCATGTCTGATGTTGATTTGAGAATCATGGAGTAAGTAATTTGAATTTGTCATTTTATCAACAGTTTTTATTTTGTTTATCAGTTTAAATGCGCTTCCTACTTTCTGTTTTATCTTCATTTTTGTTATTGAAAAGCAGTTAATTAATGCAGGGTACTTTCTGATCCATTTCCAACCAATACAACACAACACATACCAAAAATCAAGTAAAATTTGGCCAACACAAAGATTAGAGCTCAAATCACTTACTTGCAATTTTCGGACTAAGACAAGTAAAAACACTTCAAACCTAAAGGATTACTCTACCAACTTAAATTGATTCACCACCAAATCCCCTTACCAAAAGTTGGATAAAGAATGCACACTCAAGAACACAAAAGTTCTCTCAAATGGATAAAACCAATTTCATAAATTAAATGTTACAATAAAATAGTTGCCTTTAATGAAATAGTTCTCTCAAATACAAGGGTAAACAAGTAATTGATAAATACATTAAAATGAAATAAATTAAACTAATATTACAAGTCATTTATTCAAAAAGCAAGGTTATGCATATTTAATGCAAAAGAGACATGATTCCCTAATTCTAGCATCTATATCTTTAACCACCCCATTAGTTGAAATAAGTTTACTTTATTATATCCAAACTTGATTAATGAGCTTAATTAAGTCTACTAATAAGGGTGTAAGAGACTAATAAGGGTGTAAGAGTTTGGGCCTTGAGAATCATGCTAATGGATCCAATAAGAGTTCATGTGAATTTTCCTCTTTCGAATGAGACTTAGACCGGATTGGACCACTTCAACACTTCGGCTTCTTTTTTGGTGGGTTTGAGCTTCCCTTGTTGAGCTTTGGCCTGTAATGATTTGGGCCAAAATGTTTAGACTCTCTCCCCCTTTAGAACTTGCTTGGGCCGAATTTCCTCCATTGCATTCCACAATCTAAGTGTTTTAGGACTTGGAGTGAAATGCTTCAATTCAACTGAATTAACAAGTGTTTTAGAATTTGTAATTCCTTGTCTACTCATGTTTTAAGACTTGTAAACGTATCACCTTCCAAGTTCTTGGCTTTCTCTAATTTAGTGTCGATTTATTAGCAGCTTTTGTTGGAAAGCTTCTCTCCTTGTTCTGTTAATACATGTGATGGCTCATTGATGTTTGTTTTGTTGCAGTCAGTCAAGTTTAACATGTCATTAATTTCTCTAAGAATCAATGTCAAAGGTGATGTATCATTTGCGGTTCGTGAAATAAGTCTCCTTTTCTTTGGGGAGAAGGTACCTCATGCTAATTTTATTTTATTTTTGTTCTCTTTTAGCAAGTTTAAATGAAGCATCAGACATCATCTTCAGAAGTGTGTCATGCTAGAAGAGAAAGGAATGTCTACAACTTGGGCATCATTCAAGGTTTTTTTTTTTTTTTTTTTTTTTTTTCAGTTCCTGTCCAAATACTATATTTCATGCCTTAGTGAAAAGTTTTTACTCTAATGTTGGTACTTTGTTACTTAGCAACTGTGGATGATACCATCAGATAAATTGACCGGATCAAACAGTTCTTTTGCAGAAGAATTGCATCAGAAAGGGACTGGAGAGGAGTACGGTGGTTGATAAACAGAACTGCTAGTTTGACATTTGCTTTGGTGAGCTTCCCTCATGCTTACATTTTCACCCTAAACAAGGCTGCTCATTATAATTTTTTGAACATCTTATTGTTTATACCATCATTTTCATCATCTTGACTGATAGATTCTGTACCTGATACGGAACGGAGTTTTTCTTGGGTTTGCCCTTACTTCAGATAGTTTAAATGGATAAACAGCAATTTGTGTTGGGAAGGTATGCTGAAAATGAAACCGATCAGTCCAGGCTCTCAACTGCGATACAAACATCTCAGTCAGAACTACCAGAAATTTGTTGGACAAGTTTGGTTGGGAAGCTAGGCTGATGCTGAAAGTTAATCGTTCCAGGGCCCTGGCTGCCAAACGAGAAGCTCGTTGGCACTGCAAAAATTTGTTTGAAGTGATCCCTCAGTTGCTTAAATCAATGTTTTCATAACCAACCTGGGGTTTTTTTGAATATTCGGAGAGAAAAGATGTCTCTATGCATCATGCACCAACATTCAACTGACTAGACTAATTGTGGAACGACTGGTCGTCTTGTTGCCACCAATGCCGCATTGTTTTTGTATCATAATAAAGTACTGCTAATATTGAGTAACATATTATTCTCTATCTCCAAATCACTTCATTTATCTCCCTCTATGGTAACAAATTTGCTCTTTAGTCATATTTCGCTAAACAAAGTCAGACTAAGTAGACATTTGAATAAACAATTACCAAATAGACTACATAGTATNATGAAATAGTTGCCTTTAATGAAATAGTTCTCTCAAATACAAGGGTAAACAAGTAATTGATAAATACATTAAAATGAAATAAATTAAACTAATATTACAAGTCATTCATTTAAAAAACAAGGTTATGCCTATTTAATGCAAAAGAGACATGATTCCCTAATTCTAGCATCTATGTCTTTAACCACCCCATTAGTTGAAATAAGTTTACTTTATTATATCAAAACTTGATTAATGAGTTTAATTAAGTCTACTAATAAGGGTGTAAGAGTTGGGCCTTGAGAATCATGCTAATGAATCCAATAAGGGTTCATGTGAATTTTCCTCTTTGGAATGAGACTTGGGCCGGATTGGACCACTTCAACACTTAGGCTTCTTTCTTGGTGGGTTTGAGATTCCCTTGTTGAGCTTTGGCCTGGAATGGTTTGGGCCAAAATGTTTAGACTCTCTCCCTCTTTAGAACTTGCTTAGGCCGAATTTCCTCCATTGCATTCCACAATCTAAGTGTTTTAGGACTTGGAGTGAAATGCTTCAATTCAACCGAATTAACAAGTGTTTTAGAACTTGTAATTCCTTGTCTACTCATGTTTTAAGACTTGTAAACGTATTACCTTCCAAGTTCTTGGCTTTCTCTAATTTAGTGTCGATTTATTAGCAGCTTTTGTTGGAAAGCTTCTCTCCTTGTTCTGTTAATACCTGTGATGTTTTAAGATTCTGTACCTGATACGGAACGGAGTTTTTCTTGGGTGTGGCCTTACTTCAGATAGTTTAAATGGATAAACAGCAATTTGTGTTGGGAAGGTATGCTCACAATGAAACCGATCAGTCCAGGCTCTCAACTGCGATACAAACATCTCAGTCAGAACTACCAGAAATTTGTTGGACAAGTCTGGTTGGGAAGCTACAGTGATGCTGAAAGTTAATCGTTCCAGGGCCCTGGCTGCCAAACGAGAAGCTCGTTGGCACTGCAAAAATTTGTTTGAAGTGATCCTGCAGTTGCTTAAATCAATGTTTTCATAACCAACCCGGGGTTTTTTTGAATATTCGGAGAGAAAAGATGTCTCTATGCATCATGCACCAACATTCAACTGACTAGACTAATTGTGTAAAGACTGGTCGTCTTGTTGCCACCAATGCCGCATTGTTTTTGTATCATAATAAAGTACTGCTAATATTGAGTAACATATTATTCTCTATCTCCAAATCACTTCATTTATCTCCCTCTATGGTAACAAATTTGCTCTTTAGTCATATTTCGCTAAACAAAGTCAGACTAAGTAGACATTTGAATAAACAATTACCAAATAGACTACATAGTATTGTTCTTGTCTGTTGTCTCTGAAAAAATATTTGGTAGCATGGTTTTAAAACCCGGCCCAGCTTGACTGGCCCAACCGAGAATCGGTGATCGAGTTGGGTCGGTTTGACTAAAAAACCAAAATTTTTAAATGACCCAGTTTAAAACGTGGTTGGATCGGATTTTTTGTTATGAACGGCCGGTCCAACTGGTTCAACCCAACGGTTGAACCACTTTTTGATTATTTTTTTATTTTTTTATATGTCATGTTGATGTCAGAATGATGTGATCGCACTTACATCAGTATGATGACATCACAGTTCGACTCAGCAGTTGAACCGGTTTGACCGACCAACTCAGTGACCTAATCAGGTCACTTCCCTGGTCAGGTTTTAAAACCCTGTTTGGTAGTGTATTTAGAAAGCAGCTTCTACAAACAAAAACAATGAACATTTGACTAGTACTATTACCGTCTGCCAATACTATACTTACGACCCAATTTTACAAACTTTTTTTTATAACCCTGATGTAATGCTTCGCAATTGGTTTTTGATGAATTTTTTAGTTTGATTAATTGCAAACTAACAAATTGAGAGTTGTCACGTCATGATTGTGAGAGAGAGTTTGTGAGATTGAATTGTGAGCCAATCTTTATTAATTAGTGTCATGACGATATCATAGTTAATTTTTGTAATAATTAGAACGGGGTTAAAACGCTTGTATTGGGAGTATTTTCACCTGTTCATCACGTATTTTACTAATGAGAATAAAAATAAAAATAAAAATAAATCTGAATTAAATTCATTAAACAAGACTTTTATCCTAGGATTGTTGTAACGTTAAATAAACACAAGTAGAGAGTCAAGAATAAGACATTATTTGGGAACTTGTTCCGTTGTCTACACTTTCCATGTCTTGAAGTAGACATTAAGAATAATTTAAAATAAATTACCATGCCATGGATTTCTCTAAGAATCAATGCCAAAGGTGATGTATGACATGGACTTCAAGATCAAGAAATCAAATCAAGCTTCTTATGTACCCTTTTCTCCGCGAAAAGTCACCTCACGCTAAGTTATTTTCTTCTCCTTTAGCTAGTCTGGAAGAGAGTAGTACTATGCTAGAAGAGAAAGAAATGTCTTACCACTTAGGCACCATTGTTGTTTGATGCATTGTTTTAAAACCTGATCTGTGAGACTCGTAAGGTGACAGGTCACGAGTCGATGGTTAAACCAGTTGGACTGGTGATGTCAACAGTAATTTTATTTTAAAAAAATAAAATTAATCCTTAAATTTTAGTATATTACAAAAATACCCCTAAAGTTTTCAAATTAATCCTTAAAATTTTTTATTTATTTTAAAATACCCCCAAAAATTACCTTAATCCCTAAACTTTTGACATATCTCCAAAACACCCCTAAAATTGTAATTAGTCCCTATAAATTTGAAATATTACAAAACATCCCTAAAAACTAAACCAGACTGGAAAAGTTGTTGGGTCCCGATCCAACCAGCTGTTCAAATTTTAAAACAATGGTTTGATGAGAACCCTCTGATGCTTGCTTGAATGTGGGGAAGAAAAGAGGTTGGGACATATCAAGCACCAATATTCAACTAATTGGACTATTAAGTGATGACCGGTTGTTAGACTATAAGAAATTATCAAAATTTAAACCTAAAGGATTGACCTGACGATCAAGGAGGTTTGCTCATTTCCTTGAGTTTCTAGTTCAAACTTGGGTACCTGCCACAATGACATTGTGGCTTACTTAATCCTTTGGATTTGTAGAGTGTTTATAGACTCGAAATTAGTTCAAATACCCTCAAACTAATCCCCAATCCCGCCCCCCCCCCCCCCCCCCCCCCCCCCCCCCAAAAAAAAAAAAAAAAAAATTATCAAAATTTTAGACATCAAGCCTCTTTCTTGTGTACAAGAATGTAACAACAACAAATATTCTTCTGTTAAAGCTAATATACTAACATATTTGCTATCTCTCAAATATATTTATCTCATTGTAATGACAAATTTGCTCCTTACTTATATAAACAGAAATAATTCATCATCTCTTTTCATTGCCGATTTGTCACCAATCAATGTCCTGGGCAAACAATAAGCAATTGATTTGTAAATGCAGTGAGTAGGTGAAAATATTCTTCTTAGTTGTATTGGACTTCTCACATGAATAAACTCCGTATCTTTTGCCAAGCAACAAAACCTCAAAAAACCAGCAGAAACAAACATAATAACCACCAAAGAACAGGCCCTCGGTACTTTTTACTATCTATTTGGCCTTCTAAAAAATCTGATTCATGGAAGGGTAGATACTTGATCTTTGCCAAAAATTAGACAAGGGTATATAATGAGATCAACCCACATAAGGAAAGAATATACAGTTTTTGATTGATTGACAATATTGAATACATATGTAGATGGGCTCCAGGCTCTAATTGAAGTGAATGAACCTTTACCATCTGTTGCATTTAGTTACAGATTTCTCTATTGTATGGCTTTCAAATGGATATAAGATTGCCCGTTGGACCTGTCTTACACCAAGAATGGATGTAGGTAACCAAATTGCAGCAACCTATTCTGTCAATTGCTTTACTTGCATAACTCTTCTATGAACATGAATCCGAATGGGGATCTGAAGTATAAGAAGTTAGACTAGATGTAGGCTCTGAGGATGTGCAGAGGCTGACTTCATCCGAAATGCATTTGGATGCTGAATTACTACTAATACTGAATCGTTTGAGCTTTCATCACCATAAGAAGTTGGCTACATCAACATTAAAACATGTAAGTACACATGCTAGCAAATATAATGAACACAAAACAATCACATGCTAGCCAAAGTAACGTTTAGAAAAATTGTAAATGGGTTCTAGTACGTTACTGAATCGGTAATGTTATTGACTCTTGAGAACCACTAGGTTAAGCAATGTAACACATCAATGATTATAACAGTGGGTGATGTTTATCAACCCAGTACCTTAGCTGATACCTTAGGTAAATACAATTTTATTAAGACACTAAATCAATCTGTGTATGTAGGCTGGCAATTTAATGTAGAGGAGGATTATACAAATATATTAAACTGAAAAATAGTACACAAAACCTTAAGACTGATAAAAGGTTTAGTAGCACTTACAACACCAATATGCCATTCATGACGACTAAAATCTTTGAATGTTGCTGCATCCATTTCCTGCAATTAAATGCTCAGTATTATAAATAGTAGGAAATAATATCTGAAAAATTTTCCTTGAAAGGTACACAGTTATGGGCTCTGTTTGCAGTTCTGATATTCGAAGGCAATCCTACCAGAGGCTCTAATGCCTTGCATACTTGTTTATGCTATATAATATAAGATCAAAGGATTTATATCCATAGAGGGAATTAATATGTCAGGCTAAAATTCTAGAAACAAATTAACTTACAATGCTATAAATGGGAGGAACCATTGTCTCCCCTTTAGACTTTGTAGTTGGCATAACAGAGAAACGTGGTGCCAAGTCTTGTGATCTAAAAGTCCACCTGTGAGAGAAGAACAGATAAAAAAAAGGTTACTGAACAGAAATGGATGAATAGAAAATCAGAGGTAAAAATAATTATTTACTTTAATCTGAATCAGTTCATGATAAATAAATCCTTATGCTATTGAAAATTAAAATATTTTTTAGAAAAAGCACTTGTGCAGTTGATTATCTAACATACCCAATGTACAGAAAGATGCAGAACTGTGCCCATTCTCGAATTAACAAGCGAAGCCAGTAATTTTCTGAAGAGTCATCCACATTAAGGTATATCTGAAATTAAAATAATTAACTATCTCAAAATTTATGTCCTATATAATGAAGTTACACACATAAGTTTAAATGAAGGTCGAAACAAAAGCATATTCATACCACAATTTCTGCCATGGCTACTATCTGCATAGCTCCCTGAAATTTCCTGAACAAATCCAGAGAAAGCAAGCACATCAAGTTCAAATTCATCAAAACTTTTTTTTTTTCTTTCTTTCATTTGAAACTGGCACATTCAGAGATCATAAATATACATAGAGTTAAAAATTTCATTGTGTCACACATACTTAAACATGATGTACTTTGTATATACAGCATCGTGCATTGCTTGAATATCTTCGTCCTCTATAAAAGCTAATTGTTCTCGTAATACTGACAGATTTTGAGAAATATGGTGGAAAATCATGTAAAATGAAACTATATAATTAAGCAGCAGCAGGACCTGCATAATAGCAGATTAAAAGATCAGTGCAATGTTTTGATGATAACATAAAATCAGCAAAAAGTACCAGTTTCTGCCACTTCAACAGCACAACAAATTCACCAATCTAGAAACTCACAGTGAAATAAGGTACAGAAGCTCTATACCCAACCAGAGTCAAGTAAAAGACACACCCAAGTGCAGCTGTAGTACGGCGCTCATTTACTGAAAGACGCTCACACATGATGCAGTATCCATGAGATATTAGCAAGAAGGACACAAAAGAAGCTGTCTGAAATAGCACTCCTGTTATATACACGCCAAAGGACATCCACAGAGAGCAAGTCTGAAGATGAAAACACGAATACCTGCAAGGATGTTGCTCAAAGACTTCAACGATGAATACTTTTAAGATTGACAAAGGCAATATAACCAGAGCCATACAAATGGTAGTCATATAATTCGATAAGTGTCTAAAATATGCAAATTCCTCCATCTGTTTATAATTATAGTATGCCTGTAAGATATGTAATAGCTATCTACATATCTTATAATGGCAATCAGTATTCCACAACTTGATAACAAAACTGAAAAATTGTAGTCATATAATTCGATAGGTGTCTAAAATATGCGAATTCCTCCATTTGTTTATAGTTATGGTATGCCCGTAAGATATATAATACCTATCTACACATCTTATTATAGCAATCAGCATTCCACAACTTGATAATAAAACTCAAAAATTGTATCCCAAATATACTATTTTCAGTTCAGAAATAAATAAGCTCTCCTCTCCTGCTACCATATTTGATCACGGCTGACTAAAAACACAATCCATAATGCAGCAATGAAAAGAACAGAGTTCACGAAAATATTTCAAAAAATTTACAAAAACGCCTTCACACAAAAGCTAAAGAATTTAAAAACTTACCAGAAGAGGAAAGATAGAGTAAGCTGCAATGCTTTAATCAACGGAACAGAGGCCAGCGTCCACTGTAAGTTATTCGTCTGCTCTAACACAATTCAAAACAATCACAATAAGCACAATAACTCATTAACAAACGAAAAAAAATCAACCAAAGCATCCAATCATAATACAAGTCCATAACAACTACAAAAACTCAAAACCAAAAAGAACCCATTTTTAAACTCACATCAACATTAACAAACCCAGAAGCCAACAATTGAAAAACTGAAAAGAGTAAACAAAACCAACCCAACTAATAAAATCACTCAAAATTTCACAAAATTGATAACTTTATCAACGAAACAAACGAAAATGACCTGAAAATGGCGGTTTTTATAGGTATTAATGGTCCAAGAACAAGCAGAGAAGAACCAGATTGAGAGAAAAGCCAAGTAGAGAGAAGGGAGAGGCCGATACGACTCGTCAAGACTGACACGATGCGTTTCGGGGTCCATGAAGTCGTGATTGGGAAATTCAGAAACTTGGTAAAGTAAAGTAGTGTAATGCGATTAAACCAAACCAACGTTAATTTCGGTTTTCAGAAGTAGTTTCAGTTATGTTTTGAAGGTTTTGTGTGTTGGGTTTGTTTTCTGCTTTATATACCAGGAGGGAAGCTCATAAAACGCTGCCGTTTTCTCTCTTTTTGGATTTTTCTAAGAAATTGTATTTATTATAAAGATAATAATATGTTTTTCCCTTCGAGTCAATCTTAGATGAGTTTTTTAAAATAAGTGATTTTTTTTAATTTTTTTTAAGTTAAAATATAGTATAAAATTGATACAAAATCATATTAAAATAATTCTTTATAGAACTCAAAAAGAAAATTCTTTATAGAATTAATTAATATAGAATATTTTTAAACCAATTTCACCTTGAGTGTATATATAAATAATCTAAATTTGAGGATTATTAATTATAAATTTTAAATAAATAAATGGGTATTTAATGGTCAACAAGAATGTAAAGAAGATGAGCCAATTTTGAAGGAAATGAAGTAAGTAGGTGATAATTTCATGATGTTTATCTTATCACAAAACAAAACCACTCCCCTAAATTTCCTACTCTATCATCAAAAGATTGTTTGATTTTATTAATTGCCATTTAAATTATTTTATTAACATATAATAACTTCATATGAATTGCATGAATTATAGATTATATTTAAAAAAAAAATTATTTTTTTGGTAATTGAGATATTTAAACCAGTTTGTGCACATCTTAATAAATTATCGAGATCTATTAAACATCTTATAAATTCAATGAGTCAGATAAGTTACAAATGTGATAAATGACTACTGAAGAGACTCATACACAAGATCTCTAGATAATCTTACTATATGACGACAGGCCAAGTGAATTATACGAAAAATCTTAATACACAACATTTCGAAGAAATCTATCCTCAAAATACGCATTGGATTTTTATTATTTTTAATACCCACCAAATATAAAATGGTTAATCTAATATGGGTATGTATTGACCAACCACCATGCTAGATTAGGCAACTAGTTTTGACATTCTAAAAATCTTAAAAATATAGCCTCCTTAAATAAAATAAATATTTGGGCAGCTTTGGTTTTATTATGTGACCATTACACAAAGTTGTAGTCATCAAATTTAACAATATATAACAACATTATCATTAGGTCAACAAACTCACTAACAAAATTAGTTTCCTTTTTTTCTACTCCATTTCAAGAGCCATCTTCATTTATATATATTTATTGTCTTGTTCTTGTAAGTATTTGAAATTAATTTTGGGGTCAAACTTATGTATTAATTAAAATTAATGGATGGTTTTGACTAGTTGATTTGGTTAATTTAAAGGCATGAGTAGGATGATATAGCATATTGGGTGAGCTACAATGATACTCTTATCTTATATTTTTATTTTTATTTTTTTTCAGGAATGTGGATTGGATTATAATCTGACCAAACAAATTTGTATAATTTTGTTAATGTATGATTTATAAGTTACAAGTACATAGTTAGGTGAAAAAGTTTAACAACATTCTTCCACCTTTTCCTTCATATTTACAATTGATATCGTTAAGTTATATTTGTTTTATATTGTCAATTTACTGTGTTGTTATGGGCTCACGGTTTATATATGTGATTGAGTTGTTTTCTCTTTTAAGTTAGTTTTTGGGTTTGAGTTCTACCCCAGCTCATTTATCATGGTATCAGAGTCGCTCTTGTTTGGATGGTTCCACATTCCCTATTTAGAATTTAGAGGCTGTTATGATTTAGATATGTGGTAAGGTTGACACCACTCTTGTTTTGATTGTTTCACATCGCCAATTTAGGGGTTTTTATTATGTATATATGTGATTTGGTGCAATTTAGGGATTGTTATGGGATCTATATGTTGTTGGGCTAGACTTCCTCTTCTTTTGAGCTAGTTTTTGGGCTTAAACCGTATCTAAGCCTGTTTATCAAATTTCTATAAAATAAGCTGATAAATAAAAATAAAAATAAAAAAATTATACAATGAAAATATATTGTGTATTATATGGGAAGCTATTTTTACTCCCCATCAAAAAAGATCAAATATATTGTGTATTACATAGTTAGGTGAAAAAAGTTTAACAACATTCTTCCACCTTTTTCCTTCATATTTACAATTGATATCGTTAAATTGTATTTGTCTTATATCGTCAATTTAATGTGTTGTTATGGACTCAAGGTATATATATATATGATTGAGTTCTCTTCTCTTTTAAGTTAGTTTTTGGGTTTGAGTTCTACCCCAACTCATTTATCATGGTATCAGAGCCGCTCTTGTTTGGATGGTTCCACATTCCCAATTTAGAATTTAGAGGTTGTTATAATGTAGATATATGGTAGGGTTGGTACCACTCTTGTTTTGATTGTGTATATACGTAGTTTGGTGCAATTTAAGGATTGTTATGAGATATATAAGTGATTGGATTAGACTTCCTTTTCTTTTGAGCTAGTTTTTGGGCTTAAGTCATATTTAAGCCCGTTTATCAAATTTCTATAAAATAAGCTGACAAATAAAAAAAAAATTATACAATGAAAATATATTGTGTATTATATGGGAAGCTATTTTTACTCCCCATCAAAAAAGATCAAACGGTAGTTCTATTTTAATCATATTCTGCATGATATACCCGTCCACATGGCCCAAGTTGAGTCACTGTCCAGTCTTCACTGGCAGCCATTTTTCATTTGGGCTGGACTAAAAATTGAAATATGGACCAAAAACGGGCTCTTTGAAGAGCAATAGGACAAATATACATATGGGCTCTGAACAAAGGGTTCTCCAACCTCAATATAATGCTCTTCAATTATTTAAATAAAAAAACAACTTAACTTGGAAATGTAGAGAAAGAGATCTAATTGCCCACCAACACCAATTAAAATACTTTCAATCCAACTTGGTGGGAACGGCATGTCGTTTTTCAGGTCTATTCTTACTATGTTTCCCCTTTCTTTATAGCAAACTATATACATACTCATTTTTATTTAATAGATAGATGATCTTAAACCCCAAGATGTTAGCTTGGTGGCCGAGAAGATTTATTCTCATCATTGATTTCTTGGGTTCAAACCAACTTAAGGCCACCTATCACATTTATAGCTTACCTTGGAACATTGAGCTTGTAGGGTGTTCAATAGACCTTGGGGATTAGTTAAGATGTACACAAGCTAAATCAAACACCTTGGTTATAAAAAAAATTGGGTTTGTAGGATGTTCAATGGGCCCAAGGATTAGTTCAATGATCTTCGAAGATTAATTGAGATACGCGCAAGTTAGCCCGAACGCCTCGATAGGAAAAAAAAAATAAATAGAGGATCTTATTAATTGATTAATTATTTTTGGTTATGTGACGTGGACATACAAATTGATTAACTTGCTTGATTTTGATCTAATTATATCAATGTGAAAACCCTAACGTTAAAAGACAAAAGTTATTGCTTTAATTTAATTAATAAAAACAACTTCACTTTTGTATATTACTATAAGCTATGTCTTTCCATTGGGTGACAATTTTGTTAGGTGTTAATATTATTGATTAATAAATTTGAATTACAGCTAATTGAGTTTAAATATATTATTGTTATCCCAAGTGTAATTTAATTTAGTTTAATTATAGCCACTGAATTCTGATGAACTAGTTGCATATTAGTCAATTCAAGATCAAGGTTGCCCAATTAAAATAAAAGACTAGTAATTTAAACTACAATTATTTAAACGGACTCAAGTTTTTATTATTATTATTATTATTTTTTTTTTTTTTTAATGAACAATGACTATATGGTAAAATTTTGTTGGTGTACATGAATTAAATTTTTAGAAAAAAAAAATTTACCAACTGTTAAACTCGTAACAACCGGAGATATCCAATCGACCGTAATAGGACTAAGTAGGATGTGTGTGTGATTATAGATAACTAGCTTAGAATGAATTAAAATATCCACAAGGGAAGAACAAAGAAGGTTTTTAAAGTGGTTCAACAAGTTAGAATCAAGCCTAAGTCCACTGATATATTATCGCTTTTATATTTGTTTTACACATAGAGTGATTACAAATAAAACATGTAAAAACGAGATTAAAACCCTCTTTCTAAGTGGTTTTCTATGCTTGTGTGAGTAATCGATTCCCAAAACGGAGATTGTTTCTCCCTTTTATACACACCATTTGACAGTGGTTGAGAGTGATTTTTACCTGGTGGATTACACGCATAATCTCTTGTAACCCAAATCTAAGTCAGACCTTCTCATGCTTTAGTCTGAGCACCTGATAATCTTGTTGATGAAGTTATCTGCTGTGGGGATAACACATGGGGCGAGCTTGACTGTTAGATCCCGACAATAGTGTATAGACAGGTCGTACAAATCTGTTCGTCAAAAAGTCTGCAGAACACCAACATTTTTTGTAATATCAAATTTGCAACTTGAATAAGACTGTGCAACTATTATAGAATTGTTTAATAATGGCAAGTGTTACAAGAAATTGATTCGATAATGTTATTATTATTAAATCAATGAAATTGTTAGATTAAGAAGTTAATATAACATAGTATTGATCCAACGATTACGATGAGTCCATAATGTTACCGTTATTGGTAGCATAGTGAATGTACTATTACATACAGGAAAATGTCATATTCAAACAGGCAAAGGAAAAGGCAAGGGTCATTTTCATAATTGAATTATATAATAATGTCTCTATGTCTCCAAAAAAGTAAACCCAAAAACATAGGGCTATGGTTCTTGACATTGACATGGGAGCAAGAAACTTTGGCTCATTTGTGGTTGTGCTTTTACTGAATTTATAGTTTTTCTCGTTATTTATTTATTTTATTTTTTAAACAGGGCATTCACACCAGTTTGTGACGTAATTCAACTAATCTTTATAAATGACATGATCACTTGTTTAAATCCTAGAAGTTAGAAAGATTCGAACTTGAGATCGTGTGTCTTAATTACACATCCCAGCGCTCATTACCACCTGAGCTACCCGAGGGTGGGTATATAATGTTTTAATTCTAACTAGTTTGCCTTGTTTCACATGGAATTTTGAG